AAACAGAAATAAAGTAGCATAAGTACTGATTTTTGACTGAATTAAAAAAAAACTTTACTAGAAACAGAAGGTGCTTAGAAAAACATGATCCTTTAATTGGGATGACATGGAGTAGTATGTGTAGTTAACCAAGTACAGACCAAATACATGCTGTGTCTCTGACCCTGCCTGAGGGGACTTAAATGACTTTTCCAATAAATATCTCAAGCCTGGGGAAATGGCAACAAGGACATGGTCCAAAATGAAGAGTCAGAACTTCTTAGATAGAATGCTGTTTAATTTTTTCTTCCCAGACACTCAGTCACTCTCATTCAGACACACAAGCTTGCCTACAACTCTCCGTTTCCTAACAGATGTGCCTTCCATGTAGAATCAAGAGCAAGCAAGGCAGGCCCTGAGTGTTTTCGCTCACTGGAGGGGGTCTCTGAAGAAGGGACCACCATAACAGATACATTGTATATGCGTAGTGCAAATGCCTTTAAAGAGAGAAAGTAATTTAGTGAAGAAAATCCGGAACCACCGTTAATCTCCAGTTCGCGTAAAAAAGACACTAGATGGTGCTGTGAACCAAGAAGTGTGGTAAGGTGCTAAGGTGCGCCCGGGAGTGAAACCCTGCTCGGCTAACACTGCTCCCCTCTCCTTGCCCTTCCCGGATCAGCACACCTTACCTGGCTTGTGAAAGACATTTGCCAGTCATGGCTTAGGAACCAAATGAGAATTTATTTAACTGAATTTATATGTATTTCCAAACAAAACTAGTGTTGAGTTTGCTAATAACAGTGAAGCAAGAAGAGATGTGAATTTGAGATCAGATGACCTCAAATATTTGGGGCAAAGTCCATGCCCAGTTGAGGCTGGGCTCTTAGGGAAGGGAGACAGCTACTACGAAGGGTTTGATTGGCAGCCATGTTTGTTCAGGACAACACCTTCTTACAAATTCATCTGAGGTGAAATTGTATATATAAAGTCATTTCTTTTCTTTCCTACTATTCTTTCTGAAGGAATACCCTTGTGGAAAATTGTGTTTCATCAGGCTAGCTTTGAATAGACAATCTGAACATTCATTTCTAGAAACATCAGTTTGCCTCATTCTCCCACTTCTGTTCACAGACAGTTTATTGGAGATTGACTCAGGTTCACAGGACTACAAAACAGTTTAACAAGTGGCCATGTGGACAGAAAAGACACACAGATCCTCACTGAGAAAATTATAAGCTTATATAATATTTGCAAGAACTGAATGTGAGATGGGTCAGTGGGGAAAGACAAAGAACTAACATGATTTCAGAATATCTTATTCTGTTACTTAAAAAATAAGATTGGTGTAGACCCTGAAGACTCGGCTACTTAAAAAATGGTTTAGAAGATTCAATTTTTAGTCTACATTAGAATTTAAGGAAGTTCAAATAAAGTCCTTTCACAGTATTTTTTTAATCTAAACATATAAATAAGTTAGTCATTGTTCTCATAGGACGTATTAAAGTTGGTTGTAGATTAAGCCATTTTTGAGCTTTGAAGTTTTATTTTCATTTTGTGGCTATGGAAAGCCAGTAGGTTTGAAAAATCAGGATATAATAGCTGTATTTGATTGGTGAAGATTGTAACCTGGTAACTGGATGCTATCTGATTAGCCTGGTATTCTTTCAGAGACCACCCAATAAAGTGTATTCAGTTAAAGAAGTTGCTACTTTAGAGGAAAAGATAGTAATCTGGACATGTATTGTCTCTCCTAGCATCTACATGCTTTATATGAATAATATTTGTATGATATCAGAATTGCTTTGGCCTTGGCTTTAGTGTAGAAGACCAAGCCAGGAATTTACCTGTTGACAAAAAAAAATAAATAAATAAAAGAAAGAAAAAGACCAGGAGACACCAGGGACTGCCACCAGGGGTCGGCACAGCCAAAGGCTACGGCGAGCTGGGGGAAAAATAGCTACAAAGGAAAATCTGCCAGCACGATCCAAGCCATTTCATTTTCTCAGAGGCTGGGGGCCCTGTTGCATCAGGAATCGTGTGGTCGTTGCGTTTCAGTAGGACCAGAGCAGTAGAAATGAGGCTCAGTGTCTTACACGCGCTCCTCTATCTAAACACTTAGGAAACAGCTCTGTGTATAGCAAGATTCGGTTCACGTGGGAATTCCTTCAGTCAGTGAATTTGAGCTAGCCTGCCCGTGTTCCCCCTCCCATCCCTATTAGTAGAGTAAACTTTGTTTCACCCAGTGTTAATTCTTAAAAGATCCATCAAGGCAGAAATGCTCAGTTGTGGGTGGAAACATGAATACCTAATTGTTTGGAGAGCTTAGGTTAAGCCACTGTTAGTATGTCAACTAAACCTGAGTATAGATGTCTCAGGAAGCATGTATTTTAGAACTCTCCTGAAGTCCTAGACTTGTGAACCCTAGTGTGACTTTTACTCCCACTGAAGTCTTTGTTAGCCAGTCAAACCCTAGCTAGGCAAGTGAAATCCCCTTTGTGATACCTAGTTTTACAGTTGTTATTACCAGTTCAGCACTTTTTATCCATTTACTCTCTAGCAATAGGGTTACCGTCTAACCATCCAAAACCTGTGCTGTATCAGCATCCTCCTCCCCTTCTCCCTGTGTATAGTTCCTAGATTTCACTGACAAGCTGAGTCCTTGTATCCACCTCAGTGCTTCTCTCTCGTGTCCACAGCCCACTGTCCCCTCCTTGTCAGCATCTCTTACACAGGGCCTCTGTTCTTATTCCAGTAGTGACTATACCAGTCCGACAGCAAGGGCTCATTACCACTATTTTCATCAGCCTGCTGTCTTGTGTCTCCTGATGGCCTTGGAATATGAACTACCTAGATACACCATATGTCATTTACGCCATCCAGTTCCCATCAGGGTCTGTCTTGCAGCTTCGAGCCAGGGGGATTCAAGGTTCTGCTTCTGCCCATATATTCCCATAATTGTGTCCTGTCTCCTCACCCCCCAGAAAGGTACTAATTCCTATAATGCACAGTTTCTTCCCATTCCCTACATCATGCCACGTATCCTCTGGTAACCTTTACTATCTTTTGCGGTCACATCCTTTAGTCTTGAGAAACAAGGGGTACCCAAGAAAGGCCATCTAAGACATTGTAGTGCTGAAGAACAAAATCCTGGTGCACATGTATTCTAGAGAAGCACTCTACCACAGAACTACTTGTCTAGCCTGCCATATGAGTGTGAGGATTAGAGGGGTAAGGACGACCCGGTATTCTAGAAAGACCTTTAAGCCATGTATTGTTCATATTCCTGGTCAAACAAACTATCTAAAATTATTTTAAAATCTGAAATGCTTTCTGCTACTTATGTGATCTAGAAAAAAAGCAAGTGACTTCATTCCTCAAACCTGTTTCCTCAACTGGTAGACCAGTTGCCCACTTTGTGTTATTTTTATGGGGGGAGAAAAATGAAATGGAGCTGCTTCTTCTATATCAGACTCTATTATAAAACAGATTATACCTGACTTTATTCTCACACCCCCAAGGGGATGGCTATATTGCTAACTCTGTGTTAGACTTGAAGGGGCTAAGAACAGAAGACTCCAGTCTGTTGTCCTGGGCCTGGAGAGTGTAAGAATAAGTGGAACATAATAAACAGGCTCACAAATGCTTTCTCTGTTCCTTCTAATGCTTAGGAGTCATGACCTGTGAGGGTGAGCATCTTACAGTTTGTGACTTGCAGCCCATGTGTGAGGTTGGGGGTAACTCCAGACCATATCTTACGGCTTATAAAGTGCTATAATGCTGTCATCCTAGGTCACTGTTTCCCCTGTTGTTAAAAATTGACAACTTGAGAAAACACTGTTTCGTGGGAGACTTCCTAGTATTCTGGCTCTTAGCATCTCTCCACCCCTTCTTCCTCTATGTTCCCTTAAGAACAGGAGTTATAGTATAGATATACCCATAGGATCTGGGTACCACCTGATCAGTTCTCTGTATTTTTACTAGGTAGACTTTTTGTAATTGTCTCCATCTCTTGCAAAGATGTGAGAGCTACAGTTTATCTGTGGATACAAGGACTAGTAGAATGCAATTAGAAATTATGCTGTTTTAGCCGGGCGGTGTGGTGCTCGAATCCCAGCATTCAGGAGGCAGAGGCAGGCAGATCTCTGTGAGTTCGAGGCCAGTCTGGACTATAGAGTGAGTTCCAGAAGAGGCACAAAGCTACACAGAGAAACCCTGTCTCGAAAAACCAAAAAGAAAAGAAAAGAAAAAGAAAGAAATTATGCTTTTTTAGTAAAGTGATGATAAAAAGTTCTCCTCTAAGATCTGTGACCTCACTAGCTCTGGGAAATTGGTAGATTTCTAGTATTAGGCATGATTTGATCCTGTTGAGCAGGCCTTAAGTGAAAATAGAGAAATCGTTGGTTGCCACCCATACATGGGTACCACTATTGCACTGTTATATCTTGCCATGCTGGCCATTGTTAACATTCATTAAGTGTTACAGCTGGGTAGGACTGACGGTTACTTTCTTCCACAGTAGCTTTTTATAGCACCTCTTGGTATGACAAAAGCTAATTAATCCTCAGGGAGGAGATTTTCAAGTCAGATCCAGCTTGTCGACTCCAGGTCTTATGTCTAAACTACATGGTATCTTTAGCAATAGGGACTTACCTTCAACCTCCAGAATGCAACCAAGAGCAACTGCAATAGCCTGTATTGTTTTGAGGGTATCCTGAACTCCCCTGACCAACAACTCAAAAGAGGGTCTCTCCTTCCTGGTGCTGGGGTTTTTGTTAAATAGTCTCTAGCTCTTGCATGGAGCACTGTCAGTCCCGGTAGGATAACTTTTTAAACTATATTGGTATATGTATACAGCATGGGTTTATATGTATTTATGTAATTAATAAGTAATAATACAATTTCATAGTATTTTGAAATAGTATTTTGTTTGAGGGCCCAACCACCCAGAGATGAGCATCTTGGTGCAACTCTACCCCCTCACTGACGTTTCTTTCTTCTCTTGCTTTTTTTTTTCTACACAGAACATAGTTTTGGCCTTCAACTGCTAATGAGTGATATTAACTCATCCGTGGAAAGCCTTAACTCAGCTTGCAACATGCAGTCTGACACTGATACCGTGCCGCTTCTTCAGAACGGCCAGCATGCCGGCAATCAGCCGGCCGCCTCGGGCTCTCGAGGCCAGCAGGCTCAGGCATCGCCCAAGCAAAAAGTGCAGCGGTCCCAGCCTGTTCATATTCTCCCCATCAGGTGGGCCCAGAGAAGGTACTGTATAGCCCGTTTTTTTATTCTTTGGGGTTCAAATGGGGGTGGGAAATGACTATAGAATCAAGTTAAATGGGTTTCTCTCAATAGCAAGTACAGTTGTCATCCTATAACCTTGGGGAAACTGAGCTCAGCCCTAAAGCCAAAGCACAGTCCTGAGCCCCCCTGTTTATGGTAGTTTTCCCTATACATACATACCAGTGGTGAACTCTGGCTTGGAAATTAGACACCATAAGATGCACAACAATAATTAATAGCAAAACAGAACGATTGTAACAATAATGGAAGTCACATGAGTGGGTCCTCCCCTTGTGACAGTGAGACGACAGACACAGTGTGATAAGGTAGAAGGAAGCAAGTGGAGCAGACAGGTGTCACGCTGTGCCAGGCTCCTTTCGACAGTCTGTGGGATTGCCATCAGAATTTTCAAATCACGCCTATACCAGCTGACCTCAACTGAAAATGCAGCTCTCAGTGGCCCTGGGTATGCTAAGCAACACTGCAGTGTTTGGTGTGAACTCGCTGCCTGTACATTCTCCCGAGCTCCAGCTCCACAGCTGAAACCACGACCGTGCTCCAGGTTTTTGTTCTCCAGAGTAGGATCCATAGACCAGCTGCAGTGTCCTCCGGGGCCTAGTCAAAAATGTACAGTTCCACACTTCAGCCGTGGTTCTGTTCTGGCCTTAGCCCTAGGGGACTGCACAGGAAAGCATATCTGTCCTGGCGAGAAGAGAGCCCTGGGACCTTGAGGGAACTTCCTGGGAGGTGGCAGGTCTCCGAGCTGAGTCCGAGCTAATAAGAAAATGGAAGGCTGGGAAGTGGATGCGAAGCACAGGCTCTCAAGGGCTACTGGAGCTTTCCCAGCAACTAACTGGGCAGAGGAAGGCTTAGAACATGGAAGAGAGGATATGGTTTGGTTTAGGCAGCGCAGTTATGGCCTTAAGGGTTGTGGGGCAGGAGGAAGAGGTCACCATGGCTGCAGAGAATGCACTGACGTGAAATCTGTCAGAGGAGGCCAGAGGCCTGTAGGTGATGGGGTCACCATACGGAGAAGGGCGCAGTTAGTTGAGGGTACTGCTGAGCAGGGCGCATGGGACCTGTGGATGGACTTAGAAAACAGGCAGGCGTGGGAGAATGGCTGGCTTTGTGTGGAGCCAATGCAAGGAAGGTAATTAGAGTGTTCAGATGATAGAGAGGCCCGCAGTCATCTCTGGTTTATGAAACCAACCAAGTTGAGGAAGGCAGCTCTTGAGGAGCACACTGCCTTTGCCTGACCCAGTCTCAGGTCCCCCATGAGTTTCAGGCATGCATGACCGAGCAAGGATGATGAGCTCTTAATACAAGCCTGCTCCTGCCCCTCTGGGAATTCACAGATGTGTGTGTAGTGGACTGTGCTTGGGATTATTGCCCAGCCTCTGTCCAGCTGGAGTTGTAGTGGCTGTACTTTCTCCACACTGCCTATTCTGGAATGTTCTACTCCCCCATGCTTCCAGAAACTTCTAAAAGGGTTCTTTCTGGTCTGACATTTTAAGTCTTCTTTAGCCTCAGTGACTAGCTTCCCCTAAGTGTGTCCTCTTTCCTAGGAGGTGGTGAAGGGTGTTGGACTCTTGGTCAGCTGCCTTTCAGGCTTTCTGTTTTTTGTTATAGTCATGGGGTGAATTGACCCTCTCACCCATTTCTGGCTTCTGTTGTATCTGGAAAAGAAACTCATCTCTTTATGAGTTTTTCCAAGGTTCAAGGGTCTACTAGCTGCCCATCCAAAGCTGCCTTGAGGGTACCCCAGCATGAAGGAGCCTTCCTAAAACCCAGAGGAGAAAGGGCCCAAGGGTGTCAGGAGGAGGGTAACACCAGAGAACCTGGCTTCTGATGAGAGTTCATGTGTTGCCCAGGACATTTCAGCTTCAGATTCTAGCTGAACTTGTCATTTGTGCGATAGCATTGGTGCCTCTGATCAGTAGGACAACAGCACTGGCTATTGCAAGGTGACAGGCATCCTTGCCTGCCATTGGCTCTTACCGTCAAGTGAGACTTGTTTTAAATGGTTAGAACAGAATTGACCATGCTCTACAAAGTGACACACCTGTTGAGCAATGAGCAACAGACTCCATAAAATTTTCTCATTTATTAACTGGAGTCATTCTCACCCAAGTCCTATGCGGTTGTCGCTTTGGATCACTCGAAAAGAGTTTCATGATAAGTGCTGGGTACATACTATGGGTGGGTTCCCAGTGGTTCCCACAGGCTAATGGAGCAGGAGGAGGGCTCAGGCGAGGGAGACTTCTCAGGCAGATGAGCCAGGCAAGGTTTTGGAAGCATGGCCACCTCCACCTCCCAGGTCCTGGCCACCTTGATGTCCCTGAATCTCAGTTCCTCTCCACAGACACTTCAGTTTTGTAGCCTCAGGGGCAATCTTTTAATGTGGGCCTCTGTAACAGGAATTGCTGTCATCTCTGTGTAGTGCCCATTAATTATGCTTCTGCGCAGTATCTGTGAAATGTTACAGCTTAAAAAAAAAATAATGATGTTAAAAATTGAAATTATAAATTTTCAAAACACCCTAATGAAGAAGGAGGCTTTTGTGAGCTGCTGGGACATCAGAAACAGTCCTGTCTGGTTCTGTAGATCAAAGATGCTGAGGCTGTTACAGGAAGAGAAGGATTTGTTAACAATAAAAATAAGCTTTCGGCCACATCATCAAGCTGGTATAGGAACGACTTTCCCATGTTTCACAACACAGATGTCCTTCCTGCCTTGGAAGATCTGTTATCTTAAAAGTCAGTGCATCATTTCCCAGTCCACACAAACTGGCAAGACAGATCTTCCTTTGAGGTTAGAGGTTAGTCGGTAAGGCCAGTGGTCACATAGTGAATTTTCAAGTAGCATTTCTCCCAGGAAGGCTCATAGATAAATGAACTTATCAGATTGTAAAGATATTCAAACAATTATTTGAAGATAATATACAAAAGGTAGTCCCAAGGTATGCTGAAAATGAAAGTTGAGCAGACCATGAGTAGACCAGACTGCTTCTCCTAAAAGGAAGGCGCTATACACTGGTCATGGCCCCTTGCTGGTGGGTGGGTATGTGGGTGCATGGGTGGGTAGGGTTATGTGGGCGGGTGGGTGGAATGAAATGTCTCCAGGAAACTCTAGGAAATGTGGTCAGGAGGTCACTAGCAGGACCGTGCAAAGAAAAGCACTGGGCATTTTGCATCGTTTGACTTTGAACTTGGTTTTTATGCTATTTTCATGATTATATCCAATTCATCATCCATTGCCTAATGGTGTGACAAGTGAGCTTTGGATTTTTCAAAGGAGGAAAGGAAGGAGAGGTGAAGCTGCCGAAGTGCCCAGGAGCTCAGAGGAGATAATGAATCGGTAAGGACACTCCGAGAAGACAGCTCCCTGAACCTGTGACTCCCAGTGTAGTACTAACCACCCTTTTGTACAACCTGAGCATTCCCGCCATTCAGGTGGGGAAATGTGAAACCTCCTCTAGGATTAGATATGTGTGCAATTCAGAGACTTGAATGAAGCTGCCTTTTTCACAGAACCTTTTTACATAGGGGGGTACACAGTGAACAGATGGCCAACAGAACATCGTGTGCCGGGCAGCAAAAGATAGGTAGTGTAGTGGCCACTTTTAAAGTGTCTGAACACTCAGAATTGATGGCTGCTCTCTGTCATATTCTCATCTTATAGAACAGAAACTGTACTCATTAACAAGCAGCTCCCCCGTCTCCTCTGCACCTGGCAACTACCCATTCTATTTTCTGAATTCTACTAACTTGTATGCTCTACACAAGTGGAATCTTCCAGTATGTATCCTGTTACTGGATTATTTCTCTCAGCATAATTTCCTTAAGGCTGACTCATTTTATAGTATATGTCAGAATATCCTTCCTTCGTTTTTTAGACAATTCTCTTTTTAAGGCTGCATGATATTCCATCACAAGGACACACCACATTCCGATATCCTATCCATTCACAGTTGGACAGGCGGGTTACTTCCCAGTTTTGTCCACCGTGAATAATGCTGTCATGAACACAGGTGTGCGAGCATCTCCAGAAATCCTGCGTTCTGTTCTCAGCTGTGCTGTGATGTGGTAGGATGGCCCACGTTAACCGGTATTTGCCTCCTGCAGGCGCGCTCAGGAGGAAGACCAGCAGCTGAGAACTTCTTCTCTGCCGGCCATCCCGAATCCGTTCCCGGAGCTCTCTGGTGGCCCTGGAAGCCCTGCCGTGGCCGCTGCTGCCGCCGCGGCCGCTGCTCCTCCGAGCAACGTGCCGCCGCCTCCGAGCAAGCCACCCACCAAGCAGGTGAGTGGTCCTTAGCTGCAGCACAGCGATGCATTTCCTTGTGGAAAAAGGTGGGAGGTTCTCAGATCACTCCTTGGGGTGGATCCTGGACTTCTGTCTCATGAGTCCTTTAAATTGATTGGTCTGAATTCAACTTAATGAGTTAATAATGTGTGGGCGTAGTTTTATAAAATTTCATTTATTTATGGGGGCAGCATGTGTGCTGTGGTACGTGTGTGAGGTCACAGTTCGATCCTGCCACTATGCGGGTCCTGGAAGATCAACCTCAGGTCCTCAGGCTTGGTATCCAAGTGTCTTTAGCCTCTCACCAGGCTGAGGAATGCATCGCTGTGTTTTAAAGAGTCCTACCTGTGTGTTTTGGTTTGCTTTGTAATTAATGATTTGACACTTACAGAGGAATTTTAGCTCTTTTAAAGAAATCGTGCTACCAGGTCATCCTGGTCTGCCAGCCCTGCTACAGCACCCCTGGGCTGTCCTAAGCACCTACTCTTCAGTATGGGATACAGTCAGAGTTTCCTTCTTGAGGTCTTCACTTTGAATGGGGCCTGCTCACGGCCAAAGAATGGCCACTTGACCCCCGTGATAATTACTGCCCTTTTAAAACTTAAGTTTCTCTTTTGAAGTGGTACTGTGAAGGAGAGCTCTAGTCACTGCCCCCATGTGAGAAACTGCCCAGTGACAGCCACTCTGCTTATCAGAGACCCTGGCAGGGGAGTCTTGACATTTCAGACTCCCTGAGCAGTGGATAGGGAGCAGGGCACCCCATCTTACTGAAGTATGGCTCGGGATTGAATATAACAGACGCACCCCACACCGAGGCCCTGTTCTGAGCGGCACATGTACTGCTCTGCTCACTTACTGCTCAGGTCGGCCCTGTGAATTCGGTTCAAGTGCCACCGTCTCCTACAATGGAGGAGAGCGAGGCCATGGTCAGCATAGAGCTGTGCCTGACCTGCTTTCAAACAAACGCAGCTGAGAGGATTCTGTGCTTTCCCTCGCACACCTCTGCTGTTCTCTGACCCTGGGAGCCAGCAAGCCGCACTCTCCGCAGTCAGGGGGCATGCAGCCCCAGGCTCTTGTCTAATACTCGCTGGCCTCGGAACACTGCTCCCCCGAGCGCCTCTCGGGCCGCCCACATTACAGCACTGTCAGACTTAGAAGGTGAGGTCAGTGTTCCTTGTCTGGGAGCCAGCACTGTCCTGGCTTCCGCACGCGGTCACATGCTGAAGCGCATCTGGGCTGTCTACCTCCCTGGTGACCTTCTGCCTTGAGTAAGGATCCTGATGAGCGTGTATGGTTTGTCCCCGAGGTTGTTTACAAGTTTCCTGTCCTGAAGTAGACCACAAAAGTACTGTCTGGCCCTCGCCTTGGCTGGCAAGAAAATGAGCCTCCTCCCCACCGATTGTCCAAATTTGTAAGAATAAGGAAACCCGGGAATTTTGCCTGCTTGTGTTTTTCTTGGGATCAGAGTTGGCTCCTCATGAGAACAGCGCACTGGCGTGTTTGCCGTCAGATTCCTCAAGCCGACTGGGACCGGGGAGAGCAGGAAGGGGGTTTCTCACTTGTGGAGGGCCGTTGCTCTTCGTGGCTGTTTTTATTTTGTATTTATTCTTTGATAACCTCGTGCGTGTAAATTGTGTGTTTTGATCGTTATCCCCCATTGATCCCTCCCCACTCTCCTTCCCCCAAAGCCCCATCCTACTTTCACTGTTTTTAATTTTTAAAATACATTTATGGAGTTAGCGGGGGAGGTGGGGGGAGGGCACATGTACTACACACAGCGAGTGTGGGCATCAGAGGGCAACGTGAAGGCCTCGGTTCTCTTGTGTCAATTCCGTGGTTCGAACCCTGTCCCACAGATCCCTGTACCTGTGGAGCCGTCTCTCCAGCCTTCTCGTTTGTAGTCCACCCATTGAGTTCTAGTAAGCGTCAAGGCTGGCACTGAGCACGGACAACTTACTGGTGGCTACGCCACTGAAGAAAGCAGCATGCTTTCCTCCCGCTTCAGTCCTGCGTTGGGAGTTGGAGGCCTTCCTCCACTTCCTTTCAGTTTCCTCTCCACGGGTTTTTTTCAGTGGCTGTTTAATGGGGCAAGAGTGGCCTAGATGTTTGGACCCCCAACCCTGGAGAAAGAATGCTGGGGTTAGACTTGTTGCTTTTCACAGATAGCAAGCTCCCTAAGCGCCCATTCTTAGGAAGATGACGGTGTGGGTGGACCTCCACCACCCACCAACCCCTACCATGAGACAATCCCTTGAGTCAGGCACAGTGACCACGTGCTAAACACCAAAGATCTTGAGCACTGTAGAGTGCAGGATGGGCACATGTAGCTCAGTAACCCGCAGGTGCTAGATAGAGGCCTCAAGACTCAGGGAAGTGCCGGAGAGGGACTCTGCAGGGGACAGGAAAGAGCCCCAGCCCCAGTAATGCCAGCAGCAGTTTTGGTGCCATCTACCTCCAACCTGTCTGATTAGGCTATCATCCCAAGCCCTTAGCCTGTGCCAGTTCCTTGGCAGACCCTGCAGCTAGAAGCTGGCTGCTGAGCTTAGAGTGTCGGCACTAAGAGCCAGACACTACCCAAGGCAAAGGCACAAAGGAACAGCAGCCGATAGTCAGAAGAACATGGTGGTGTGCAGAGAGAAGTCTTCACTCCACCTGGAAGGATGGGGAAGTCTTCCGTAGCTACTCTGCATACTTTTGGGGGACCCCAGAGGGCACATCAGCCACCAGGTTAGTGGCTGTGCTGTGGCTGGCTTCCTGGCAGATGCTATGCCATAGTAGCCCTCAGTTCACCGAGGTCATCCTCATGGCTGGCAGCTGTAACTGAACTTCCCATAAGTACCCCTAATCCTTTGACTTGGGGACATTGAAAATGTCCAAGAGTGGAAGCTTCCAATTGGAGATTACCATGTTGAAACCCAAACCTGCCAGGGGTACTTGTTCCTTCACCAACTAGGGCTTGACAGCTTCAGGACTCCCAGGCTCTGTTCCTCATCCTGCATGGGAGCTATGATGATGGGGTAGGGTGGTCTACACCCAACTCATGACCATCCCCAGACAACCACTGTCCTGAGTCCAGCTTGTCTAGGGTGCTATGGGCTCGGCAGCCCGGTGAGCCAGCTCCTGGTTGGGAGGGGCATGAGAGAGAGACCCCGTATCACTGAGCACTGCCGTAGTCACAGACGACAGCAGTGGTAACCCGGGTGCTGGATTTGTGGATTTCCAAGCTGTCTCAGCCACCGTCGGGATATATTTAGCTGCAGAGAACCAAACCTGGCTGGCTTCCTTCATGAGGACACTTAACTTTCATGGGCTAGGATATCTGGGGCAGAAAGCCGAGGCTGCCCTGGCCTTGTTCCGCGTTGTGGGACTTGCAACTCAGTCTCCGCAGCTGGAGCTGGAGTCACCAAAGTTGGGACTGTCATTCAGCAGCAACCTTTCCACCACAGGCAGTGAGCCAGGTGCTTGGACACGTGTAATGGTGAAAGGGGAAACTGAGGTACTCTATGGGGTGCCCCGGAGAACAGGACATGATGAATAGAGTTGTAGCTGGCTTGTACCGTTCAAGTGCACGGCTTCTGAGAAAGATGGCGGTGGGGGATCCAGGGAGCTCAGAAGAGGGGGTCTGATTCATGCTAGGTAGTGCTGTAGACAGGGCCTTTTTTGAATTCATAACAAGCTCAGTAATGGCAGGCTTCTCTTTATTTCAGCCAATAGAATTTCCTGTGGCCACACAATGACTCGTTAGAGCATGTTTTTCCATTTGCTGTTTAAACACAATTAGTCTCATATTGTGCCTCATCATTAATGGGGCATAAATATTGTCTCAACTCCAATCAGTTCTTTTCTCTTTGCTTAAGTTTAAAAATTAATTTTCTGGAACTAAATTAATGGCCTTACATAGGATTCCACTCCTGCATTTACAAATGACCAGAGTGGGGTCTTCCGAGGCTTTAACTGCCCTTCAGTGAGTGAGCTGCTACAGGAGAACCCTGCATAGTGGGACAGTCTAACCCTGGCCACCATGTGAAGAGTGGGCCCCAACCACACGTTCACTAGTCCTCCTGCTCTTACGCCCCCACGGTTTGTCCTGTCATCTTTTCTGGTACCTTCTGAGGTCGGAAGTTATCAGGACCTAGATTTCGCTGAAGTTTAACTTTATTTAGTTCGGGACCCCTGCCTGAGGCAGATTGTGACTGTTTTAAAGAAGTCAGTCCCTGGGCTGTAGCTGGTTTGGAACAGAGACAGGGATGCCCATCCCCAGTGAGACAGAGACAATGCCAGCATCTCATGACAGCCTAGCATAAGACATACATCAGCTCGTCCCACGTTAAAAGATAAAATCCTCCGTTTGGCACACCCATCCCTTTTTCCTTTGACCTACTGCTCCCTCACATCTCTCCAGGGAGGCCCTGCCTGCCTGGTGGCCTGTCTTCTCTGTACTAAGAGGCAGGCCCAGTGTGTGGAGGGTGAGCCCTAGCCTAGGCATTAGGACAGGGCTGGTGGCCCCCTCTGAGCAGCAGCCTCAGTTCCCTGACTGTCCAAGGGAGCCAATGTCATTGACCCTAGCCTCTCAGACCAGTTGTGACATTAATTCAACACATAGGAAAATGTAGGCACAGTGCAGCTGCTGCTTCCTATATTTAATAAACGCCTAATGCCACAGCTGCCACTTTGGTTGCTTACTTCATCCTCGTCTCCCCTCGTGGACTAGAACAGACCACCAGAGACGTGCTCAAATGTCAGCTGAGGTCCAGAAAGGGCAAGGCGTGGTCAGGAACTAAAATGTCAAAGAATAGAGCTCATATCTAAGACCGTTCACATGTAAGGCTTGGTGCAAGCAAGGTGCCACCGCGAGTCCCACACAGCAAAAACACCTCTGAGCAAACTGAACATTCACATAGCGTTTGGCTAGGAGTATCTGTGTGAGCTTACCAAAAGCAGCCAAGCAACAACCGCCATCTTAGGCTGGGGATTTAGCTTTGTGGTACACAGCATTT